TTCCCTGGCTGCACCTCTCCTGCCCTCTGCCTTGGAACTGAACCCCCTTCCAAGAGCCTCCTGCTTCCTGTGCAGAACAAGGAGCAATGGTCTCAAGTTGCAGTGGGAGAGGTCCAGGTTGGATATTAGGAAAAACTATTTCATTAGGAGGGTGGTGTAGCCAGACAGGAACCCTCCTTGTAACATCCATTTTTGCTTGCCTGGAGCATGCAGGGCACACAGAACAGAAGGCCCAGGCTGCTGCGACCGTGAATGGCTGTAAACAGAGATACGCCAATTGCTGACCAAGAGGCTGCCAAGGAGTGTCCTTGACTTAACCCATATTGATACGAACACACAGCCGTCCACGGGGGGAGGAATCTCTTGCCCAGTAAAAAAAAAGTCTAGTACACACAATTTAGATATCTCTCTCTTGCAAGTGTAAATTAACTTGAAACTTGCTTGTAAGAACTGGCGCCACAAACGGACCAGTACAATTCAGCATCTTAGATAAGAAAGAGGATACGGGCCCCCAGGGGTATATAGATGGGTCCAGCAGCACATTTTCTCAGAGTGTCAATCTACCATCTATCTGCTGGTCGGGTTAGGTGTTTGATCTCCCGAGGTTCCAGAGGGGACGTTCACCTCGTATTCGTCTTTCCTAGGAATTGAGAGACCGGCCCTGGCCTGACACGCTGGAGTCGAGAGGCACAGAAAGGGGTAAAAATTGTACCTGGATGTGGTCCTTTGTTTAAGTATATATATACATAGTGTTAGAGCTCTTTAAAGATTAAGCTGTCACTTGGTACCATTATTTCTATTTTCTATTTTTACCTTTTTCCTGTAACCATTTTTTTAAGATCTATATATATATTTGCTAGCATTTAAGAAATAAGAGCAATAGCCATTGTAACCATATGCTGTATAAGCTTCCTTAATAAACCCGTAACTGTTTAAGCTTTAACCTGACTCCTTCAGTTGCTGTAATAGAACCAAGCACAATTTAAAAGAACTTCAGCCGGTCATAAAGGGACAGACATAGGGAGAGCTTGGGCGTTTGGATCTGTGTCACTCCCAGGTGACAAGATCCGTTGGGGCACCTTTTCAGCCTTTCCTAGGCTGCCCGCTGCGAAGGAACCCCTGTGTTCTAGCAGCTAAAATCTAAGGTGTAATAAGCTCTTCCTATATAACAGGGCGTCTGTTGGCCTGCTGGCCACCCTCTGTGACAGGACCCCGGTCCTAGCAGTAAAGACACAGACGTTAAACCTTTTCTCTGAAACATACACACACACACTGCCCTGACCGTCGGCTGACAGGTGGTGAAGCACTGGAATGGGTTACCTAGGGAAGTAGTGGAGTCTCCATCCCTAGATGTGTTTAAGTCTTGGCTTGACAAAGCCCTGGCTGGGTTGATTTAGTTGGGATTGGTCCTGCCTTGGGCAGGGGTCTGGCCTTCTAAGGTCTCTTCCAGGTCTATGATTCTATGAGAGGAGGGGGCACTGATACCAGGGTGCCCCCTCTTCCACTCTGTATTCTATCTCCACAGAACTGATTAGGGGTACAGGGCTTGGGATGGAGGGAGTTTGCTGGTAGCTGTTGAGAGTGGTGCAGGGCCAGAGCAGGAGTGAGCTTGTCTTAGCCCCACTTCACCACTATCCAGGAGCCACCTGAGGTAAACAGTGTCCAGTTGGAGCCAGAATCCTGAATCCTTAACCCAGTCATGAATCCCTTCTTACACCCCAAGACTCTGTCCTATTCCTGAGCCCCTTGGATATTCCTATCCTTATCCCTGAGCCCCTTGAGCCAAACTCACTTACAGCGCCTGTACTGTGAACCCCCTCCTGCACCCCAACTCCCTGCCCCAGGCTCAGCTCAGAGCCTCTCTCACATTCCAAATCCCTTAGCCCAAGACCAGGGCCTGTATCCAAACCCACTGCCCCTACTGGGTGAAAGCAAAGGAGAACGGGGAAGGGAGGGAGGAAGGACAGATTGAGCAGGGGCAGGGGCTCGGAGAAGGGGCAGGAAGGAGGTGAGGCAAGGGTATTTGGGTCTGAGGTAGATCCTGGATTGCACTTATATTCAAAAAGTGATCTTGTGCTTAAAAAGATTGGAGATCACTGGCATAGAACATTAATATTGCTCATATGAACAAAAAATAAAAGCGGCTATGTATGAAAGTGTAATTCAATAAATACATCAGAATTAGAAAGTATTATGTGGATAATAAGAACATGTGCAGACAGAATAAGGGAAATAATCTGGTTTTGTATCTGTAATTAATAATTTCAAACAGTGATGTAGTTATCTAGCAAATAATCCATATATTATAAAATAGCCAAACCTCTTTTAATTGCTTTCCTTGCAGCCAAATATTGAGGTTCATTTGGGTCAGCTAGCCAGGACTTTGATCCCTTTCTATAGGTTACTTTAAAGCTGTTAGGACTGTTCCGTTCAGTAAATCTCTTGTTCAAATAGTCAGTCACCTAAAGAAAATAATTGTAGTGATATGAAAATGATTTTTTTCTATGTACTGAATTAAGTAAATATCTATGTGTATGCATTTATTTAAAATGCTGACTTGTCAGAAGCACATCTGCCATGTTTAGGATATTAGGCCTTATCTACACTAGGAGATTGGTGGGTCTAGTAAAGACCTGGTAAATTTACCACTGATTGAACTGGTCATCAACTCCAGTATTCCACTGGATCAAGTTGTATGAGGGACCTGACAGTGTAGTTTGTCCCACTGACCACTAGCAATGGAGATGCTGCAGTAACTTGATCTAAGGTATGTTGACCCCAGCTAAACTATTTACATAGCTGGAGATGTGTATCTTAGTTCATCATTACTCCCTACTGTAGATCTTGCCTTAGGGTATGTCTACACTTCACGGCTCTTTCAGGATATCGGAGGTATCTCAAAATAGCTACCCCACGTCTACAGAAGCCACTTGTTATTTCAAAATATTTTTGAAGTAACGGGTGCCCTATTTTGCCGTCTCGGTAAACCTCGTTGCACGAGGATAAGGGATGGCTCGAAATAGCATGTTATTTCAAAATTTGACACTGTGTAGATGCACCAAATTTCAAAATGAGCTATTTCTAAAGAGATTCAAGATAAGATACACAATTTGCATAGCTCAAATTGCATATCTTATTTTGAGTTTAGGGTAGACGCTGTGTAGACGCACCCTTAGAGACCAAAGTAGATGAGGTAGTATCTTCTACTGAACCAACAACACAATTTGAGCCAAAGAAAGATATTGCCTCACCCACTTAGTCTCTCTAATACTTGGAATGTGAGAAGAGTCCCAGACATGCTGTTTTTCATTACTGTCAGTACTCTACTCCTCCACATTTGCTGGTGCAGAGATCTTCATTTGTTGGGGCTGTTAACATCTATTCAAAAGTAAAGTGGTGACCGATTAACCCGAGAATGAAATCATAGTTTTATTAGACTCTGATGGATGTCATTTTTGTTCAATTTTGGAAAAAGTTAGATGGTTTTAGATTTGCAGACAGAGGAATATGGAATGATTATAGATTAATTGTAACCAGATTCTGTTGTTGGGATAGGTACATTATAGATAGTGAAACTGTAGTATGACATATATAACATGTTCTTTGTTTATTATAGCTCTCCTTGGAGTCATACATGTCCCTGTATTTGTTTCTCCTTGGCTAAGTCTAGACTGGCGTGATTTTCCACAAATGCTTTTAACAGAAAAGTTTTTCCACTAAAAACATTTGCGGAAAAGAGCATCTAGATTGGCACGGACAGTTTTCCGCAAAAGCACTTTTTGCGGAAAAGCGTCCGTGCCAATCTAGAGGCGGTTTTGTGCAAGAAAGCCGCGATCGCCATTTTTGCCATCAGGGCTTTTTTGCGCAAAACAGTTTTCAGCTGTCTACACTGGCCCTTTTGCCCGAAAGGGCTTTTGCCCGAACGGGAACAGCATAGCATTTTCGCAAGAACACTGACAATCTTACATGAGATCGTCAGTGTTCTTGCGGAAATTCAAGCGGCCAGTGTAGACAGCTGGCAAGTTTTTCTGCGGAAAAACTTGCCAGTCTAGATGCAGCCCTTATGTAACAGACACTCAGATGCTCAATTACAACCAAGCAACACAAAGTGCAGCTCAGGAGGGGTCAGAGCATCAAAAATGTTGAGACAAGACAATTTGCTGATGAGTGTCATAGGTGCAGAAGTAATTAATTTTGAAGTGGGTGAATACAATTAACGGGTATAGGAGGAATTAATAAAGGAGGGATTTGTTAAACCCTACCTGTTTTTTTACTACAGACAGCTCCATGTTTGGCACCAGCCGTATTGAAAACTTTCCAATTACTTTTGCAGGAATAACAGTCTTCGTTCCAGGTGCAGAAAAAGCTCCTTGGATTCCATGTATGGAAAGAGATGGATAGCGTGATCTTTGCATTAATAATTCTTCCTGAAGATATAAAAATATGTAAATATATTAAAGCAGAAGAGATATTAAACAATAATCTATAATTAGCTAGCACTTCATGTTACTTCACAACAGATGCATACATGATTCTTAGACAAGCAGTCTCAGTATTATTATTTCCACATAAAGAAACCACTCTTTGTATATGTTAAGTGTGCTATATATAAATCAGCCTAGAGACTGATGCGCCAAATCTTCCACAGCTTGTTTTTTTCTTAAAGCTAACTCACTGTAGCAAAATGAAAGAGATCCATTTATTAAACTATAAAATCTATTATGTATAAAGATGTCCAGGTTTCAAGCACTTACAATATTGCCAATATAGAATTCCATAGAATTCCCCTTTCTCAAGCCCAGAAAGCAAGTCAATGAAATAAAATATTTCAAATATAAATAGTAGATAGACAGGTAAATATATATAAATATTAAGTAGATACATTAGCTTCAAGATTTAAGGTGCTTCATATGATATATCAGTCATGAGCATTCAAAACAAACAACACCTCATGAAATACAGATTTTACACTAATTTTGCATCTTTAGAATGCCCAATCAGTGCATTTTCCTTGTGATATGGGCCAACAACTTAGTGGTAATGGATGTTGCATTTGGCCATTGGAAGAAGAACATAAATTACATTAAAATAGATCAGCTACCAATATTTTAAAGTTAATAAATGTATTTTAAGGAAATCCAATCTTTAGATGAGGTGGTTTTTTGTTTTTTGTTTTTTTGGGTCAGATGAGTCGCATTCTTCAGTGAAGATTGATTTGGAGGGACTGGTGAAAAAAGTGTGTCCGTAGTTTTATATACTGGGACAATCAAAACCTTACTTCATGTTAGTCACTGAAAACGACCATTTATCTTTTTGCTGACAAAGGTGCCACTTTTTCAACAGGTATTCTAAGAATTGTGCACATTTTTTCCAAGAAATAGCTGTACTAGAAAATAAGACTTCTTCATAGGGTCAGATTCTGCATTCAGTTACATGGGCAACCAACAATGAAGTATCTATTCAATTGAGAGCAGAATTTTGTCTTTAGAGTTCTGGCAATCTGCGAGCCTCTCACAAAGCAAAAATTGCTCTTGACTACCATCATTTATAAATATGTTGCTGTTTTGTCCAAAGGGCCTAATTCTGATTGGGTCCCATTGTGTTAACACCACATATTGAAGTAGTTGTCCCTGGCCTGAGGAGCTTGCTAAAATCTAAGTCAAATACCTCACATAGAGTCCCAGCACTAGTGAGACCAAGAAGAGATCTTAAGAAACCTGTGGTTTTAGTAGCTGATTCATAGCCCATTGATGTCAATAAAAAGAGCCCCATTGACTTCAGTAATTACTATAATTTATTATTCCATATGAGTAGCCTGAAACCAGCAATGAAAAAAAATCTATTACCAATACAGAATGAATGTAACATACACCTTAGTTTTGTTAATAAACTGTTTTATTCCATATTTGGCTTTAATAACATCCAGGTCATATTCAGTTCCTTCATAGAGTTTCTTTTCTTTTTCAGTTAGAGGAGCTACTGCTTCATAAATTCCAGGGATCAAGATATGACCAGAAGAATCTGCAAGAGTGGCTGAAGAAAAATCCAAATGAATTTTAATTGGGCTACAAAACAAAGATTCATGTCTAATAAGCTCTACAGGGACAACAGAAATCTGCACCAAAAAAGTGTTTGAGAAAACTCTGCAGAGATAGTTTTCATGTTTAATATCTCTAGCTGACCTTAATGTTATATCATTTAAACAATTAACCCCTTTCAGCTGTGATTTAGTGGCAGCTTAAGACACTGTCACGTGGAAGATATACACTTGAGTCCTGAAATGAACTGCTGTCTCTGGGAACAACAGGAATTGGAAAGGCACCACACTTTTTCCTGAGAAAGTAATGTGTGACCCCTCTGTGGATACATGGGCTAAGCCTATACTATGAGCCACAGGTGAAATTTCCCTGCTGTTGTAGACACTCGTTAGAGCTCAGCGAGCAAGCACAAGCATAAATAGCTGTGGAGCTGCTGCGCCATCATGCTAAATATTTACTCACCTGAAACTACTGGGTAAGTGCTGGGAAAGTACTCGGCTCGGCCATGCTTTGTCTGCCACTACCTGTGGCTCTGATGCTGCTACCATTACCCAGGCCACCATCCCAACCCCCATGTACGCTACTATTTATACACTGCGGTCGTTTAGAGCTAGTGTGAATATATATGCACACAAGCAGGGGAATAACACCCCAGCTTGAAGTGTAGAAATAGCCATAGAACTCTGACATGGTCTAGAGAAAGCAGATTTCCAAAGGAAAAATCCTCCTGAAGAGAGACCTAGGCAAGAGAGGAGGTGAAAAAGGAGAATGATCAGGGCAGGAAAATGTAAATGAATAACTGGCCAGTAACCCCCATAGGACTTGGAGGGAGGAGTGGGAGTTGCAGGAAGAAACAGTTGGGACACTAGGAAGTCTTTGTCTGAACATAGCTTGGATGTTAACTACATTTATGACACTTCTGTAAATAATTGCTTTAATAAAGGTCCAGTATGGTTTAACAGCATAGAATCTTTTCATGTTATTATTCAGCACACAGTACATACAACAAACAGAATTGGGGTTGCAATGTTAACAAACACGTTAAAGCCACACAGGTGGCTTGTACTGTTTTAAAATAAATTATCTAAATCTGCTACCCCTTGTCACACAGTGTTCGGGTTTTTGTGAGTGCCCATTTAAATTAAGTTGGTTCTACATAAATTACACCATTGGATCAAATGCTGGAGCACTTGCAATTATGCATGCTATGGATCCAAACCAGAAGTCTTTTTTGGTTAGTCCTTACTAAGAAAATGTCTCTCAGAAATTAATAGGAGTTTTGCCTGAGGATCAATGTTAGTACTGAGCCCAGTACATGTAATTCATGTTTTTCTTTTCCTGTGCTTTTTAATAGCTGGTGGAAATAAGAGCAATACCTGGTATGTTCTGAAATGGAACATGACAGACCTAGGACATGGTGTTTATTTGTAGGGCTGGTCTACACTAGGGCTGTGTCTACATTGGCACCCTTTTCCGGAAAAGGGATGCTAATAAGACACTTCGGAATTGCAAATTCCGCGGGGGATTTAAATATCCCCCGCAGCATTTGCATGAACATGGCTGCTGCTTTTTTCCGGCTCGGGGTTTTGCCGGAGAAAAGTGCCAGTCTAGACGGGTTCTTGCGGAAAATAAGCCCTTTTCCGGAAGATCCCTTATTCCTACTAGGAATAAGGCAGTCATGTTCATGCAAATGCCGCGGGGGATATTTAAATCCCATGTGGAATTTGCAATTCCGAAGTGTCTCATTAGCATTCCTTTTACGGAAAAGGGTGCCAGTGTAGACACAGACTAGGAGCTTAGGTCAACATATTTAGCATTAGGTTGAATTTGTAATGATTGTGTCTGCACTGCACAGGCTCTTCCATTGACCTACTAGGCTTTTAAAATGGACCCCTGTACTGAACCTGATCCAGTGGAATAAAGCCTGAGGCAGCATTCACACCTCAAATTAAGAATTGTGATAGAGATACAGCCGTGTTAGTCTGGTCTAGCTGAAACAAAAGACAGGACTATGCCAATTTTCAGTCACAAATTGATCTGAGGAAGTGGGTCTGGCCCACAAAAGCTCATCACCTAATAAACCATCTTGTTAGTCTTTAAAGTGCTGCATAGTCCTGTCTTTTATTTCACCTCAAATTAAGGGCAGTGTAAACACTGTGTACTGTAATTCAGAGTTACTGGTCTCCAGGTATTGATCCAGAGTGCTCCATTGCGAATGCTCTGGCAAGTACATTGAACTCCAGTGCTCTTAAGCCAGGAGAGTAGGAAAAGCCCTGGAAACTTTTGAACATTCATTTCCCATCAAAGCAGTGTGAAGAGCTCAGCAGCACAGCTGAACATGCATGCCCAGGGTCATGAAAGCCTTCAGCATGGAGCATTTAGGAGATAGTGGTGTGTTTTGCTGAAGGGGGAATGGGAGAGTCTGTGCAGGCAGTGCCCTGAATCAGCCAAAGAAACACTGATATCTAGCTAGAATTTCAATCTGCTGCAGAGAGGATGTGTTCCACGGCCCACAGCCGCCTAGTGGGGACATGCAAAATCACAATTAGTAAATCTGATGCTCAAATGTGAATTAAATAAAATCAGCCTAAGTTTGCAATGTAGATAGGCCTTTAGATGATTAAAGCAATACTTACATAACAGAAATATTAAATCATTCATTGCTTCATGTAATAATCCTCCAAAGCTCCCTGAGTGTAAGTCTTGTTTAGCACATTCCACCTGAAAAAGTAGAATAGATAAACACAGCTGATACTTCCTTTGCAAACCATAGACAAGGCTGTTCACGTTTTCAGTTTAATTCAACAGGAAAAATCTATGGTCATTTTTATTTCAGGATTTCAAGGTGTATCACTATCATTTATGTGGTGGTGTTTTTTTGTTTTGCTTGTAATTTTGTTCACTTTTCCAGCTCTGAAGAAAAGAACCAAGTATGCTAGTGCACCTTTCTTTAAATACTATTTGATTTAATTTTAAAGACTCTATTATCCATTTACTTCTTTTGACGCTGACAGACTAGCCTGACAATCTTGCAAAATATGTTCAATACCTGTTGAATGGTATTAAAATGTTTGCTACTATTCCACATGCACTGTAGAATAAATGTTTTCTAGACAATCAGGATGAACCTTTCGGCACAAAAATTGTGCACCCCATTTCATTTTTTTCTCCGGTCATTGGGGGTGGGCTTGCTATGAAATGGCACAACATTTCTGTTTTATTGAGTAAAACATTCTGGCATTTACATAGCTAGGAAGCGGACATGGTGAGAGCTGCCTGTACAACACTGGTGTCCTAGTTGCCTTTTGAAGAAATGAAGACAGAGAAGCAGTGCTGAAGAAGATGATGTTGGGGTGTGTAAGAGTTAAATAAGGGGTCATAGTAGTTGCAACCATGGTTATTGGGCACAGCCAAGTAGACCCCGCTTCTGTTGGTTTACAGACTTGTTTTGACTCCTCTTTCCCCACTTGCTTGGGATAGATAAGCACCGAGCTGTACCCAGGATGTAACTTTTCATGAATGGTCTATGTGTTAACCATGCTATCCTCCCTCCTTACCCTCCTTATCTGTTCCCATTCGCACTGAATTATACATTCAGGGTCACATATACTTCCCCCTTGTAAGTTGCTGATTCAAGGAGTTTTGTGATGTGAGAATTGCTAACATCAACTAAAAAGCTGTAAACAGTAAACAGGGGTAGGTATAACTATAGTCATCACATGGTCATGATTATGCATTATATGAGTGTTCACATTACTAAATTAGGGCTTAAAAAGTGATGTAATTGATAAGGATATTTACATGCAGTTTGCACCACCAAAAACTAGCACTCTCTGGTCTGGCAACATCCGTCGTCCAGCAGGACCACAGATGCTCCTGGACCAGAGAGCCCGGGAGCCTAAGAGCAGGAGGGCCACCCAGGCCAGAGAAACAGGGTTGGCAGCCCAGCTGGGGGCAGTGCAAGACTGGTGCCAGAGGCCTGTGGCAGTCTGCAGTGGCGTGGGGCAGGGCCTGGTTCCCCCAGCAGCATGGGTTGGCGTTGGGCTGGAGCTTCGTGGCAGCCCCAGAACTCCACGCTGTCCCTGGGAGTTTGGGGCTGAGGCTGGAGCCCCATGGCAGTACGGGACCAGAGTCCTCCGATAGCTTCTTGGAGCACGGGGCCAAGGCAGGAGCCCTGCAGCAATGCCCTGCAGCACGGAGCCAGAGCCCCTCAGCAGCTCACTGGAGCACAGGGTTAGGACTGGAGCTCTGTGGCTACCCCCAGATGTGTGGGGCTGAAGCACCATGGCAAGAGTCGGAGCCTCTGCTACCCCAAGAGCCAGCAGCAGCTGGGCAAGCAGCCCAGCGAAGTTGGGGAAGGGGAAGGCAGGGTGCCTGCTGAGGCAACCTGTCAGCGGCAGGCAATGGGCTTGGGAGCCAGTGGCAGGATACCTCCCCTGATCCTGCAAATTCTCTCATTTGGGACTGGTCAGGTCCTGACCGTGATGGACCAGGGAGGTCCAACCTGTACTAAGATAAAAGGGTGCATCTGGGGTTAATTGGTTCCTCACTCGCATCCCAGGTTGGAGGGATCCAAGATGGAACAAGAATCAGCAATAAAGATGTCCTTCTATCCCATACGCCTCTGGGTAGCCTGTTCTTCTCTAACAGATAAAAGCAGGAGCTATACTTCCAGCTTACCGCACTGCTGTTGAATCAGTATTTTAAATCATTTTAAGCTAATAGATTGGTGAGAATGAAGTCGTTTTTATGGAAAATACAAGATATTTTGATTAAAATAGTGTGGGCTGTTTTGTGTCATTTGTCATTATAAATTCATGACTTCTGCCTTTCCCCTCTCTCTGCTATCATACTGTGACTTTTTGTTATAATTTATCAAGAAAGATCACTACCCGTACCAAGAATAAATCTCTGCGTGCAGTCTTAAATCCCATGTATTTCAAAATCCCAGATAAATTTCTTGAAGAGTGGCATGTAAGGAAATTCTTAATTTATTAGCTAATGTTTTGTAAAGTCCTTTGATGATACAAGTCCTCTTAATTAATTTCAGTGAGATTGCACTAATATAACTGAAAGGCTAATTGACCCATAATGTGCTTACATGTTATTGCTATATAACAGTACTAAAAAGTTGTGATTCCTTTAGTTCAACCTTAAAATTACTACCATATAAAACAGAGATGGAATCATTATATAGTCCTGTACCTTTAGCTCTGTGAGATTATATATTCAATAGGGCTATGGTGCGTGAATTTGGATAAATATGAAACCACTTGATAAATGCTAAGCTAATATTCAATTAATGAGAGTATAAGATCTTGCTGCTTCTTGCACTGTACCTCCACAAGGAAGTAGCAGTTTCCTCTTGTTCCATATGTGATACCGGGTTTGCTGCTGATCCATGCAGTGTCAGTGACCACAATGTGATCAACGTCAGAAAAAAATGTACTATTTCTTTCTTCAACTAGTTCTTTTAGCCCAGTGGACTCTACCTCTTCCATACCTTCAAGCAGAATCTTGACATTAACAGGAAGTTCCTATAAGGAAATGTTTCAAAAAGATTTATAAGCAATTGATTACGTAGTTGAAAAAAACAAACTTATTGATAAAAGAAGGGAAAAAAAATCACATGCATGTTTTTGAAGTGCTTCAATTGCATTCAGGACAGCCAGAACTTGTCCTTTGTCATCAGAGGCACCTCGTCCATAAAGATTACCTTTAAAACAAAATAGAATGAGGCTGTGTTAGCAAATAAAGTTAATTCAGACACTGGTGTTGCACAGGTGTATAGACAAACTTGATCTGTAGAAATCTGGTTACTCATCATTGTGCACCGAATAAGTAGGAAAGAAACCAGCTAGATTTTCAGTGCTCGGGATGAATTCAGGGTGAATTTACCAGGCTTTTACTTGTAAACTGAACATATTTGATATGGAAATCATTAGGACACAATAAATATACAGTCCCAGAATGCAGTATTTAACTGAATCAATTTTGAAAATAGAATTACACTCTAAACCATTAATAAATATAAAGTATTTACAGTCTCCATAGTATTTCTTTCTAATGTTTAGCATCTTGCATATAACTAAAATAGTGTTTGGACAGGTTGTGTATATAACAGAGCTATATGTGGCCTGTAGAAAAAGTACAGTAATCAGCATTTGAATAACAAGGTCTCCTCTAGATAGGATTAGCTGTCCCTCTGATGTTCAAATATAGCTGGAGTACTCAAACTTTGCTATTCCAAATTCCAGTATTGGATTTGTACTGTAATAATTGCAAAGTCCATATTTACTTGTAGTAGATGTTTAATATTGGACCCCCTTCCTTTTGTACACTCATTTCTAATGAAAATTCTTTGATAGCTAAAAGTTGAATAGAAGAAATATTATAGCAAGTTAAACGGCATGGGCTAAAGTGAGGCTCTCTTCAGCATTGCCTTCCAAAACTGGCAGAAAATAGTAGTACAAAATCAATATGATTTTGCACTCTTATTCTGATCAGACCAGTAATGCCCACAAATTTAGCACAGACATACATACAGGCTACGTCTAGACTGGCCCCTTCTCCGGAAGAGGCATGCTAATTTCTAACTTTGGAATAGGGAAATCCGCGGGGGATTTAAATATCCCCCGCGGGATTTAAAGAAACATGTCCGCCGCTTTTTTTCCGGCTTGGGGAAAAGCCGGAAAAAAGCGTCTAGACTGGCGCGATCCTCCGGAATAAAGTCCTTTTCTGGAGGATCTCTTATTCCTACCTTCAGGAATAAGAGATCCTCCGGAAAAGGGCTTTATTCCGGAGGATCGCGCCAGTCTAGACGCTTTTTTCCGGCTTTTCCCCAAGCCGGAAAAAAAGCGGCGGACATGTTTCTTTAAATCCCGCGGGGGATATTTAAATCCCCCGCGGATTTCCCTATTCCAAAGTTAGAAATTAGCATGCCTCATAGCTGATCAAAGGAGCTAAATATCTTAACTATGCCTCCTGCCCCAGAACTCTCCAGTTTTTCCAGTCACGGAGGAACAGCAAAACATGGACTCGGTGGGTTTAACACAGGAACTAGAAGCAAGGCACCGAAGTTATACTCTAGTCTATTTGGACACCTCAGGTAAAATCCTGGCTGTAGTGAAGTCAATGGCAAAACTCCTATAGCTTCAGTTGGGCCAGAATTTCACCACTAATTTCTGGTGTGGGCATATGTGCAAGATACAACCTAAATTTGGCCCAAGATCTTCTATGTGTCTTATTTTTAAGACAAATGGTTATTTTTGCAAAAGGAAGGACAAATTCAAAGCATTTTCGCGAAAAATCTATTCACAGAAAAGGCAGGCAATTTCCCAGGAGGTCTTCTTTTTTACCTGAACTAAACTATGTGCTTCTATGTTATTTGAATGCTTTTACTCTTTTCTTGCATAGTACGGAAACTGCTTTAGTATAAAGGGTCTCACTGAATATATGATACGCCTGTTGCTGAAAGTTTTCTTAGTCTTAATATAAGTAGCTCAAGTTCTTACCATTTTTCTCTGTCAATATGTAAGGCTCTGTTGACCATCCATCTTCAATTTCTGCTGGCTGCACATCCAGATGTCCATAAAAACAAACAGTAGGCTTTTTGGGATCTTTTACAATGTTTGCCAGAATAACTGGTGGCAAAGAGATTTTGTTGCCATTGGGTAGCTAAAATAAATAAAAGAGCCTCAATATAGACATTCATAGGGGCTTCCAAAATGATGATGATGAAGTCACTGGAATTTGCACCAGGAATGATTTTGATCCTACATCTCTTGATTTTTGAATGTCTTCTGTTTAGGGCTGTCTTTTAAAAAAGATTTTCAAATACTTGCTCTATAGAAACAGACAAAAATCTATATCCTAAGGCTGTTATAGAATATATATAATTTTCTGGAGCAATGAATAGGCAGCAAAAGAGTAACCATGCTAGCAGTAGCACAAAATAAGAAATGGTCTCAGGGATATGAAAAACGTTTTGTCACAGGAGGTTGGTCCTGGCTGTAACCACATAAGATTAAAAAAAATCAGGGGTGTGCGCACTGCTTTGGAGTTAAGGGGATAAGGAAAAGTTCTGGGAGATCTAGTGCTGGGAAGCAGCTGACCACTAACACCCAGTTGCATCTCTTCTAAGCCTCAGGAGTCAGGAACAAAAATAAAGTTTCCTGCTGCCTCCTGGCACCCACCAGGATTACACTGTTGGTACCTGTATATATAAGATGAGGCTTTCTTTGCACACTGATTTTATTTATTGCTACAAAAGCCAAAGATAAACCATAGTTACGGTGGTAACCCATGTTATACACATGCTTCTTAATTTGTGCAGCCCTTAGATAACTTGATTATAGTACTAAACAATGACTGTTAGAGATACTTAGATTTGTATCTTGAAAACACAGTGAAAATTATTACCTCTTGCATGCCCAGATCAACCATCTCAACTGTTCCTCCTAATGTTCTTATCCTCTCTTCTGCCAAGAGCATCATGTTTGTAACCAGATGTCTCTTTTCAGGGTCATTGGAGTCACTTTCTATGGCTATCCAGTCTTTGAGTCTCTGCAGGATAAGAAAATTGAAGATGATGTTCTACATGCAATGTACTGCTCTAAACTGACGTCATAGCCTTCTGAAATGAAAGTTACCTGAAAACATCACTGTGACTGACAGACTAGTGCCAGCTCAAGCCAAGGCCCGGAGCCTCACTCAACATTGATAAGTGCATTCCCCAAAACCAGTCTAGTTCACTGGTGTGTTAGTATAGTTAAAGTAGAGTTATAAGAATGTGTTTAGTGTTTAGATGGGGGGGGGGAGGGTGGAGACCTCAAGCCTGAGGGCCTGGATTTGTCCCCTGAGGCTCAGAGCCCCACCCCCAGCATTGAGGAGTCTGCACTGGTGCTCCAGCTCTCTGCTGTCCCACAGTTGGGCTAGAACACACAAAATCTAATAGGCTGGGACCCCATAGGTTCTCATGGGCAAGGGGAATGTGGGGAGTGTCTTTCTCCTCAGTTGGGGACCATGCCAGTTAGGGGTTTGGGTGGTGCACTTTTTTGTTTTGTTTTGTTTTGCTTTGCTTTTTGCTTCCCTCTTGTGTGCAGCCCTGACCGATTTTTCTGTGGGTCAGCAGCCCCTGGTCCAAAAAAGGTTCCCCCCTCTGGTTTAGACAATGCTTGTCAGATGCTGCAAGTATTAATCCTCATGTTGGTCTCCCATGGTATACATTTCTATTGAGTTTTCATTGTAAACTTCTGTTACTGTGTAACTCACCAAATAGGAAAAGAAGGATTAATTAGTGTAATTAACAAGAGGACCTTGTTAATTACAAGAGGACCTTTGAAACCACATGAGCTTTTGCAAGGCATCAAAAGGACAAAGATCTGTTTGATTTCCCTCCCCACCTATCAAACCCTATCCAGATGCAAATTTCTATCTGCAGATGTGGATGTCCACAGATAGAAACTGGTATCTGCTGACCTATAAGGCTCTACTCCCAAGAACTGCAGTGGCCAAATGAGAAAAACATGTTGCCACCACTCCCAAGAGCCAGCACCCCCACACCAGCAACTCCTCTGGCCCTGGCCCCAGCCACATATTCTGTCTGGAGCCATATAGCCTGCTGGGGGTGGGGCTGTAAGCAGTACAGCTGCACTGCCAGCAAGTGCAGATGGCATGGGGCACTGGTTCTTGGGAGCAGTGGTACCACGTTCTTCTCATTTGGCAGCTGCAGTTCTCAGGAGCAGAGACCTGTGCATCAGTAGATACAGATTTCTATCCGCAAATAGAACTTTGTATCTGTGCAGGGTTCTACCCACCCACATGAAGAGGAGTCAGGCGCTGATACTTGTTCTATAAGTTTGAATTTTGGAGTAAAGGGGATAAAACTGAAGTGGAGAAACTGGATCTTTATGCTTTTTAGATTCTGAGGGGCAAAGATTCCTAAACATAAGAGGCCATCTTGTGCTGCTTGGAATGGGTCAGCCCTAAGGGACACATGGAACTGTCTATTACAGAAGTTTATATTACCTTTTTAAATCTAAGGCTTTAAGACAAATGTATGTGTGTGTGTGTGTTTCCTGTTTTAACCTCATAAACAACACTCTTTTATTTTTTTACTTAAACTTTAGTAGTTAGTTTATCACAAGATTGGCTATAGGAATTGTCTTTGGTTTGACAGCCAAGTACAATTTACCTGGGTAAGTGACTGGCCCTTTCATACTGAGAGTAATCTGAATATTGTGTGAGTTTTGGTATAAAACAGCCATCAATCACATAGTCCATTTTGCCTGGGTATCAAGACAGACTGGAATGACCAAGAGTACGGTCTGTGATGCCGTAGAAAGACTGTTGTAATGCCTTAGAGTTTGTATTTGTCACTGGATTGGACAAAAACTAATTAGAGAACATACAACTAGTTTGCAGTTTCTGCCCTGATTTTTGACAGTCTACCCCGAAGCTGGCACTCATAGTCATGAGTCACTCTGTACTGTGTGACAATCACTGTCATTGTTCTTTCTTCGGTCACATACCTTTTAAATATCAACTATGACCTGAATTTGCAATGACCTCTTCATGGGCCTGGGGTCCTCTTTCCCCTACAGAGCATTGTTGTACTAGGAACAGAGTAGGTTAAACAAGTTAAAAAAGCTAATAAACTGAAGTGTGGTTCTACTATACAAATTAATTATAGATGAATGGTACCTTCCTACTCCAGAAGTCTGCTTCTTTTTTGTTGTTCTTAGCAGTAATAATAAGTTTCTATTTTTTTCACTAATGATAGCCCGGCAGAGCCAATACAGTTGAGAGAGAGCAAAGTTATATTTGTTTATTAAATTCCAAACAGTTGCACTTTTCCAAATCCATTGAAGGAAATGGTTTTGCACAGGTGTCCCTGAGGACATATTTCCTAAACCAAGAAGGTATATAGGGTTAGTGATGGCCTAATTTTTTCCTCAGAACCTTTATCGCCGAAAATGATAAACTGAAGGATAGAATTCAGCTTAAGCTGCAGATTCCAGGTCAAATTTGCAAAGCTGATATTTATTAAAATGCATTGCACAACTTTTTATTTATAAACTGTACACATTTCATAGGGAAATCCAAAAGGCCTGATTCTGCCAAATGTACTCCTATTCGGCTGTATGTTGTTGCACCACTCTTGTCCTGTTGAAATAAAAGCCTGTGTAGAAAGGTACTACTCAGTATGGACCAGTGTTTTAGAAGTGGGCTCTAAGAAACTGCAACATGGAATCGCATGGTGTTGCATTTCAACGTGTATCCTGAAAATGTATGGCAGGTTCATTGATTTTTAGCTTTCTAATAAATTAAATATGAAAATGATTTATTGACTCTTGTGTTGTTTATTTTAAAGTGTCCCCCCTTCTGTACCTCTCCCAATTCCAATTACCCATATGGCACGCTTTTTTATATTCTCAGTGATGCATAGTAGAAGTTGCCATGGAAGAAGCTGGAAGTTTTGATAGCTGGATAGGAAACAGATGACTCATGTTAGCTGAATGTTTCTGCTAACATAATTAGTGGCAGAATAGTTAATTTCAACATTTAAAATGTCATCTTTAAGATTTCATGTCAAAAACTCTGAAAATTAACAGGGCAGTTCAGATGTATTGTTTCGGGCTGGCTGCAGAATGAGGAAGACAACACTGAATCGTTTTGCACAAAGATCATGTTTTCAAGGTTATCTCCATAAGCATTAGCACCAGTCTATTATATATTTTGAAGAGTTTGTTTGTGGATTTGTTTGTGCAAAATAAAGTAATACTTTGTGATTACCTACAGATACCACATTTTGCATAAATAATCTTGCTACTTAAATTAGCTGAATGCACTACTTTTTACACTGGAATATGCTGGATGAAAAGTTTAAATAATTATTTTTGTTTTTCCTGAGTGACTATTATGGTTAGAGTTCATAAAATACTTGCTAACAAAATTAAAATCTAGTCACCTATTCAACTGTAATTTTAGCGCAAAGAAAATGTTTACTGTTACAAATCACAAAATAATTCAAATTAGTTACAGAAAGAGTAATAGAAGCTTTACGAGTTTCTAATTCAAATTTACTATGTATGGTAATTATTCAGTAAAATGAATAATGTTTGAAGTTGAAATCCTACAAAATGTAAAACTGTTCTTTTACTTTCCTTTTGCAAGAACATTAATACAAAATTCTATTACATATATTCAATTTCTTGAATTTTCCTGTAAGTGTAATTATTCAAAATGACTTTGCCCAGTCAACAATGGGTCTCACCAGCTAGTATATAAATATATAAAGCTTGTATTTTAGAACACAGCTTTATAGTAAGGTTTGGCAAAGGGGTGTATTCAATGAAGAGTTCTGTGATTACAGATGCATGGAACACTTTAAGTCCTAGGAAAAAAATCTTGCATAACTTAGTAGATAAAAAACTCCAATGGTGAGGCTTTGGCCCTTTTTTATTTCTTATTCCTATTTATTGTTAAAAATAATTGCCCTATTAGAAAGCTGAAGTTTATTAGCAGAAAGAAACAGGAAGCTAATACCAGTCTGCTTATTCCTTTATAAAAAAAACTTTGAGATTTATGGATGAAAAACTCTATATGAGAACAAAGTACTTATTGTTATTGCCACTCTCTCTTATTAAATTAAAGATGATCCAAAAATAATTTATTGCATATATATCTATATCATTTTTCATTGGTAAAGAGCAAAGAATATTATTACCAGAAGTAAAATACCAAATATGATATGATGGCTAACTGATCCATTATAGGATTTAAAAAAAAAGAAGTATAACCTACTTTGAGAATGCTTACTACTAAAAATTTACATCACAAATTCTTATTGTGCAGCACAAATATTCTTACCTGCACATATTCATTTTGATGTTCTTCAATATACTGGAATATTTGATCTGAAGGCACAGATCCTGCTGTAGTAAGTGACATGAACAATAGGGCAAGCACCAAGACAGTCTGCAAAAGAAATGTGAAATATTGTAAAACAAGTTTATCCTTTGATTCTCAGACTTTAGACAATGTTCACATAGTGTGCTTCCAGGCAAATATATTGGCATTGCAATGAATAGCCTGGGTGGCAGTGTGAGGCAGTGCTTAAACATCTAGGAAGACATTTATCTCATGTTATTCCATTTCTAGTTGCATTCTTGCTTTCTAATAATCAGAACTTACAGTGTGAAGTAGGATCGTAGCAGCCCCAGAGGTTCAGTCTCAGAAGACAGTGACACTGCATGGGTTACCCTGAAAACTGAGTGAGACCGCTTGTAGATCTAGCTACACTGAAGCTGTTACTCCTAGGGACCATTCAAAAGCTAGGAGTGTACACGACCACAGCACCGATCTATGGACCTGTGACACTGGTATCACCCATTCTAAGTACTGGGATTTTTTTCAGAATGGGAAAACCTTTAAAGCAACCACTATAACAACACAGGTCCGTTCACCTGATGGGAGCAGCTGACATGTTCTACAGAGATAAGGAAAGAAGGAAAACTGCTGGATTAGGAGAGGAAGGAAATGGCTAGTATGACAACAATCAGTACTTCAGATTCCCATCCCACAACCTCAGAAGTGGTATGCTTTTTTCTACCTCAGATGTGGTATACTTTTTAAAAGTATCTACTGTATTTGTAGGCCTATATTCAGCCTCAGAGGATAAAAATGTATGTCTAGTACTTTTGAGGGGCTGCTGTTCTGAGGATGATGTAGAGGAGCACTGAAGACATTCTGAAAGCTGGTGATTCTAGGTGCAACTGGATGCCTTGCAAAGCCAGGGAGTTATGACTGGGGAACAGTATAAGAATGACTATAGTAACTCTATCTCCTTCAGGGATTTCTCTCATGCTCCGGGAATCCCCGTGCAACCAGATCTGCCATCTTTACAGCTCCTTTGCACTGGCAGACTGGCATAAAGGAGACAGAGTGCGGGAGAGAATCTGCGCTATAAAATCTACATACATTAGAGACTCTTCAGCAAGTGGCACAAAAGAGCCTTGCTGCCCAAAAGGTGGCCATTGAGAATTCCCCCTGTGCTGAGGTACTCTTCACGTCCTCCTGTGGCACCCATATCCCCTCCCCCACACCATTTTAAAGGAAAAGAGGCAGGGAGCATGTTGGGGCTGCATCACTCAGGCCACAGAACATCCCTGAAATAATTCCTGCTTAACCTGGAGCATCTGTTTTAGAAAAATGGCCAAACTCGATTTTAAAAAAGATGGGGGAGAGAGGTGCCGTATCATGCAGAGATGTGAGATACCTGAGGGAGCACAGGAATAGCCTTGTGGTACCTATGCCAGTTGGATAAATTAGTGCCACTCTTGTGAAGCCCTCCCTTGCCCTGGTGTGGTACTAGTTGCTCTCTCTGCCCGTTCCTCCCCACTCCATGTGAGCTCAATTTTACTGACTTCGGCTCTCGCCCAGTATTACTTATTGAATTAAGAAGCATTGCAGCTCAGCGAAGTATTGGACTCAAGCTATTGAGTTCCTATCAGCACCTTGAAGTAAATGGAAGGGACTTGTTAGTTTGGCTCTTCTTTTCAAATGTTGTTCACACGTGTGGTGCTATGCACAAGATAAATAAGAGAAAGAGAACTTGGCCATCGTTTGGCTTCTTCACTCAAGACCAAATGTGTTTTCATTTCAATAAGAGTTTTGCCAGTGACTTGGCTGGGATCAGGATTTGACTTTTAAAATAGTAAAAATCCTCTGAAAAATTTAAAAAGGGGGAATCAGATGATATTCTTCAAGGTTAATGCATATGATGCATAGCTTAACTTAGTCTAGGCATTTATTTTCCTTTGTAAAAGACCTTTAAATCAACAGATGAAAAGTGTGAAGTAAGCACATGTATTATATAAATTACTGTTATTAATTTTACGTCTGTAGCTGCACTCACTTTTTTTTCTAGCAGAAATAAAGAGATTTTCTTGCTGAAATTTCCATAACTGGTGCCAAATCCTGATGCCAAAAAATGACAACATTTCCCATTGGCTCTTCAGTGGAAATATGTCTGGGTCCTTGAAGAGATGAAATTTCTCTAAGTTCATGATAAACCTAGGAAGTCTGGAATTCTTTTAATTCTCTATAAAATCATTTAAATCTTTTAAAATGTGCTTTAAGTCCTCCCTTAATTCCTTTGAGTAATTTTGCTCTTTGCATACACAGTTCTCTCCTCTATTTCTCTCTGATTTTAATGATAGCTCTTCTATAGTTGCCAAAACTGCAGTGTTATCATCCGCTTAATATACATCACACACATACACACACAGTTCGTTAGTAACTAAAAGCAAAATGCCTGGCTCTCTCATACATCTTTCTGTGCCAGGAGGTTCCCCAAACAGAATACACTCCTGGATTCTAAATATTGTGATTTTTCAAAAACGTTTAAACTTTCTTTAAGCTGTAGCATAATTGCCTGGTGCAATATAAACACAATAAAGCATAAAAAAAAATCCAGGAAATTCTTTACCATAGCTGTGGAATGCAGCAGTTTCCAAAAGTGTCTCAGTGGTGGTAGTCGTCACAACAGGATAACAGTCTGACCTGTGTTGGCTTCCTTTTATATCAAGTTCCTGCATACCCTTGTTTCTCTCCTGATTATCATTAGTTATATAGTCTCTCCAAATATTTTGTTAATGATATCTGTAGAACAAACATCTGTCACATTTACTTAGATTCAGACTACATAGGTTACCATGATAAACTTGGAAAGAATGCTGTTTGTATTTTGCCTTGACTAATACCAGTTTACCGAGGGAATAAATCTCTCCTCTAAACCCCAATTTTTATGGTTCACCGGAGACAAATTAAGAAGAGGTGTTTCCTTCCCTGAACTATCTGGTCTTACTATAAAGAGGACATTTTTATTAAGGAATGTAACATTCTTATAATGTTCTTACAAAATTAGTTCCTGAGAATCTTAGGGCAGAAGGTTCTGTCTCCCCACTATGCTGGTCAAAGATAATCACTAGTAAAGTGAGTGTTTGGGTTCTGGCCTTAGTTGGTTTCCAATGTAATTAGCCTAAGCTCTCAACAATCCAGAACAGGGCTCCATGGATTGCAGCAGATGAAGAAAAACAAACAGCACAGAAAAAGTTGACTTTGGAAAAATGCTGCGGTTAATGCCTCTCAAAGGGCTTTGCAAGTGCAGATGTGAAATTAAAGGCTTTTTAACTGCTTTACATTACAGACATGCAGAAACACGTTGGAAAACCTGAACATGCCAGGTAAAGAGGAGAACTGAAGACTCTGCTGCTTACAAAGATTAAAGACTTATAAAGATATGTAGCAGTTATAATGAAATCAAAGGTTTTGAAGAAGCTTAGCTGTGTTTTAAGCATGCACAGGGAGACGAAGATATCAAAAGGACTAAATGACATTTATGGTCTTCTCCCAGTCCCGAATCCACACCATCCATTTGAGAACTCAGACTATGTCAAGACAGCAGGTCTACTTCGAGACATCGGAAGTATCCTAAAAGAGCAATTCCATGTCTTTAAATGCACCCGTTATTTCAAAATATATTTCTAAATAACAGGCACACTGTTCCAGCATCCCAGTAATCCTCATTCCATGAAGGTTAAGAGGTTTGTCGGAATAGTACCTTATTTTAAACACAGTGCCAAATTTTGAAATAAGCTATTTCAAAATTACCTCAAAATAAGCTGTGCAGTTTGCATAGAGCAAATGACATAGCTTATTTCGAGGTAACGGTGCTGTGTAGACAAACCCCAGTGATCTGTTTTAATGGACTGGAGACAATACAGAGTTCCAACCTCCAGCAAGTCCTAAGGCAAAGCTGAATGAGGGACAGTGATGTTATGTTAGAGCTGAGTATTAGGAAGAGTCCTATTCTTGGCTCTGCTACCAACCCCTTCCTTTACCTTGGGCACTTCACGAACAATTCTGTTCTTTTGTTTACTCATCTATGAAATGGGTATAATACTGTTTCTCCTCTGCTAAGTAGTAGCAAATATTGGGCCTTTGCAGATCAGTATCCTGTTGGAAAAGAAAAGAGTGACTGTGACGGGGTGGACCCATCCCCATGCCCTCCTGTAGATGACCCGAGACCTTAGGGGTCGGGAGAGAGGGCGGGGGCCCCCCCCCCCAGATTTCCTCCCGGCGTTTAAAAGAAACGTGGATCAGATGGCAGGGGGCGGAAGCGGCCAGAGACGCCAGAGGGGCAGAAGCAGCCAGAGACGCCGGACGTGAGGCAAAGGAGCTGGGTCCGAAGCGGCCAGAGTACCGGAGAGGCGACCGGGGGAACCGGGCAAGCAGAAGGCAGGCGCAGGGACCGCCCAGAACCAGGAGGCCGGGGGAGCAGCAGCCGGAGGGGAGGTAGCCCGAACCCCAGGACGCGTGCAGAACAACATCCCCCTTCATCCCCCAAGAGACGGGGCAGATGACGGAGTGTGTGAGAGCCCACGGCAGAGGTCTCAGGCGAGGGCACCCGCCCTGGCGGCGTCCATAACACTCCTCCCCCACCCCCAAGGAGGGGCAGTGAGTAATTCCTCCGGGGAACTCCTACTCCTGAGGGAACCCCTATGTAAGGCCGTGGCGGGTAACACCGCGACGGACATCAAGACCTCCGCTAAATGACCGGTGGCTATTACCCAACCCCAGGGAGATATACGGCTTGCAGGGTGGTAGGTTGGCCTATCGTAATCTCACCTGCATGGGCCGATACCTAACCCCTTAACTTTACAAGCCCAGAACAAAGGTAGGGACCGGGACCTCCGTGCCATTAACATGAGGACTCGCTCCCACATGGGCTCGGGAGGAGTTAGGGGCGCGTGACAGATGGTGGAGAATGTGGGTACTGGACCCACACCCCTACAGTAAGGGGATTTCAAGTCATAGAACGCAATAAGATTTAGGTAGGGAAAAATGGATGCGGCACAGCTGTTAGATTGGGTGGCCGAGCACCAGCGCCAGAACCATCAACAGCAAACCCAATTGATGCAGCAGTTAGCTGCTCAACAACAAGAGCAGCAGAGACAATTGGTCAGGGAACTGGCAGACCAACACCAGGCCCAACAGGACCGGTGGTTCCAGCGATGGGCCTCAAAAGACCCCGTGGGAATTGCCACCGCCCCGAGTGTGTCAAGCGAGGAAGGGGATCTGGCTCAATTACCCATACGCCTAGCGAAAATGGGGCCCGGGGATGACCCAGAAGCTTTTCTAATCACTTTTGAGCGGGTGGCTACGGCCGCCCGCTGGCCCGATGAGCATTGGGCCACCTTGGTGGCCCCATATTTAACCAGGCCGGCTCAAGCCGCGTATAGAAGTCTCCAAGATAGGGAGGCCCTTAATTACTACAAAGTCAAGGAGGCTATCCTTGACCAGATGGGGATCAATCCGGAAACGTACCGCCAACGGTTCCGCACAGAGCAATTTCCCCCGGGGGCCCGGCCCAGAGCGATAGCCCAAAAGTTGCGGGACTTAGGATGGCGGTGGCTTGAGCCCGATAAATGAACAGGGGCCCAGGTGGCTGAAACAATAGTCTTGGAACAATTTATTCAGATCTTCCCAGCGGGGGCACAACGGTGAGTGAGACAGCACCGACCGGAGGCACTCGCTGATGCGGTCTCCCTGGTAGAGGATTACTTAGCCGCCGAGATCCCAGGGGAGAAGGAGACCTGGGAAAGGCAAGCTCGAGGCCGATCAGAGAGAGGGGCAAGGACCCCGCAGTCCCAGAGCAGGGGTGAGCGAAGAATAGCTTCACTCTCCAGGAACATACCGATCCAACGGGTCGGACTCGGAAGAGTGGTAAACCCCCGTCCAGAGGGAGGAGAAGGGAAAAGATTAGAAGGGGCAGAACGGAGCCCTATGGTAGCCACTCCACCGCGGAATGTGTGTTTTGAGTGCAGACAGAAGGGTCACTTCAGGAGGGATTGTCCGTTCATGGACTGTTCATAAAGCCAGGTACTCGCTGAGGGGCCCAATGAAGGACCCCCACTACCAGCCCGGATCACAACGGAGATCGTGATCAATGGGGAGGAGGTGACTGCATTAGTGGACTCAGGATGTAGCCAGACACTACTGCGAGCAGAACTGGTGCCTAATCCCTGGGGGTTAGGCCCACCCGTGCAGATGCAGTGCATCCACAGGGATGGCCTGGACTTACCCCACTATTTGGGTGAGGGTGAAGAATCAACATGGAAGTAGCCGATGTAGGGTGGCACTCGTCCCTAAGTTAGTGTACCCCGCGATTCTGTGGAGAGACTGGCCCGGGTTCTGGCATCTGCTCCAGGAATGGAGTCAGTTAGAACCCCTGGACATGAGGGAGGAATGAGAGGAGATCGCAAATAAGATCTGAGTCCGGGGGGAGATGGCCGAGGAATCGGTCCTGGAGATGGGAAGGGGGAGACTTCTTACAGGAGCAACGCAACGACCCCACACTAAGCCGAGCTTGGGAGCAAGCTCGAGGGGTGACGAAGGAGGAAGACCACGAACAAGAGATCCTGCAAGGGCCCTATTTCGAGGTACGGAACGACCGCCTGTATCGAGTAGTCAAAGAGTCCCGGGAGGAAGGGTGGCGTTGGCAATTATTGGTCTCCAGCCGCTATAGGCATCAGGTACTAGAGTTAGTCCATGCAAATCCCTGGGCGGGGCACCTGGGACGGGAGAAAATGGAACAGAGGGTCATACAGCGGTTTTTTTGGCCCGGAGTTTATCGGGAAATTCAAAACTTCTGTGAGTCCTGTCCGAAGTGTCAGAGGGCCAATTTGAAACTGGCCCTGAAGGCCCCTCTAATACCGTTGCCAATCGTGGGAGTGCCCTTTGAACACATTGGCTAGACCTGGTAGGACCCTTAGAGAAATCCAGCACAGGCTCCCAATATATTATGGTAGTCGTAGTCTACACAACACCCTACCCCGAGACGGTGCCGATACGGAACACCTTAGCCCCCACATTAGCCACCGAGTTGATAAAGATATTCTCGAGGGTGGGGATCCCCCAAGAAATCCTTACTGATCAGGGTACAAATGTAACCTCTAAGTTGATGACGGAATTGTGTAAGTTATTGGAGGTAAAAACCTTGTGAACAGCCATCTACCATCCCCAGACCGATGGCTTAGTGGAACATTTTAACCAGACATTGAAAGCCATGCTTAGACGTTTTGTAATGGAGGAGCTCCGAGAGTGGGATAGACTTTATTATTCGCGATCGCGAGGTACCACAAGCCTCTACCGGATTTTCGTCGTTTGAGCTGTTGTATGGCCGACAGCCAAGGGGGATCCTGGACCTCCTCAAAGAAACCTGGGAGGATCAGGAATCCCGGGCTATGGGGTCCATTCCTTATATCATACACTTAAGGGAAAAATTGCATCGGCTGGGAGAGTTCGCCAAGGCCAACTTACTGGAAGCTCAGGCCAGGCAAACTCAGTACTATGATCGAATGGCCAGGGCCCGGGATTTTAACCCCCGAGGATTGAGGGCTCCTCCTTCTATCGATTCGGGAGTCCAAGTTGTTGGCACAGTGGCAGGGCCCCTATGAGATGGTCTGGCAGATAGGCCCGGTGGATTACGAGCTTAAAATGGCAGGGGGAAGACGCGAGACCAAAGTATATCATG